CAGTCAGGGAATTCTTTCTCGTCTTCCTATATTAATAATTGTTCTGGAAAATATCATTGTATTACACCTGTTACAAATGGACCACATTTCCTAAATTACTCTGTCCTGGTTCCGGTCACTTTGGACTTTTCTCCGCTATGACCTCGCGTCAACTTCATGAAAATGTGTTTACCATAACATTCAGCAATCGGGCGCTAATGAAAATTCAATATATGCTGCAATCAGAAAAGATTAGTTATTACACCATAGCCAATACATTTGACTTAATGGACATATGTCACGTAGACGACAACAAAATTTACTACGAAATACCTAGAAAACTTGGCAGCTTATCACGATTGTAAAGCTGGTCAAAGAGTGCATATTTGTACTTCTTGTCCAATAGTGTAGGCTTGTACAGATAATCCAAAAGTGAGTGCTTTAAGGCAAGTCCAATAGTATATGTTTGTACTACTTGTCTGATAGTGTATGTACTGCTAGTCTAATAGTGTATGTTTCTACTGCACGTCCGATAGTATTTGTTTATACTGCTAGTCTAATACTATGTTTGTACTGTTGGCTTGACAGTGTTATATTTGTCCTTTTAGTCCAATAGCATATGCCTGCACGGTTGAATAGTGTACGTTTGTACCTTTCGGAGGTATTGTATCATTCACATTTCATTTATTCGACATGCTCTCATCTGAAATATTTGTTTGAATATTATTTTCAGGAAAATTGTTTTTGCGATGCTACTTTATTTTTATATGTTTCTTTGATATCGTGACGGCTATTGTGCTACTCTGCTGCCAGAGAGCACGCACACACACAAACACAAACACACACACACAGATATATATATATATATATATATATATATATATATATATGTATATATATATATATATATATATATATATATATATATATATATATATGTATGTATGTATGTATGTATGTATGTATGTATGTATGTATGTATGTATGTATGTATGTATGTATGTATGTATGTATGTATGTATGTATGTATGTATGTATGTATGTATGTATGTATGCATGTCCAGCCGTGTTATGTAAACGCACCAAAATAACTTTGAGACCTAAAATGTATGTAACAAATTGGACAAACGTATCCTTGAACCGACAAACATGAAACAAAGAATGTCCATTTCTGCTTTAGAGATGAAGTTATAGAATATTTTAATTTTGACCATCATGCTTCTTGTAACGTCAAATCTATTGTACGAATGTATCTATTGTGTGTATTTCATCTCGTCATGCATTTAATACGATATCTAAAGGCTTTATTTGCAAAAACTTGACTTGAAGCAAGCGATCATAATATGTAAATAAGACCAATGTTTCTCACATTTTCAGATTTTCCCTCTCTGCAACAACTGACAGAACCGTTTACTTCCTGCGTTAGATTAAATTCGCATAAAACAGACAAGGAAAGTGTCAACATGAACAAAAAATTATTTACATGGAGGATCACTAAGATGTCTCTCTAGCAGGACTCTTATACATCTTGTTTACTGCCCATCTTGTTTACTGCCGCACATCTCGATAAATGTGCCCTTTGCATTAAAACCACATGGTCACCATGATAGTCATGCCAAACAATTATTAATGAAAGAATAGTCTGATTTTCCAACACATTCACGATTTTCCTTCGTTTGCCATTTTTTATTTCACAAGAACGTGCATCGCTTCTCCGGGTTGCCTTTCCCATCAGAGGATAAGCAAGAAACCAGAAGCAATGTTATATGAAGCAACTTGTAAAGACATGCATTTTGTGAGACACAGCATGTAGTCGATGCATTGTAGGATGATTTGAAGAATAACATTGAACATTCTGTATCTTTGATGATTTAAAGCGACATTGACTCCAACAATTTTCATCTAATATGCTTCTGATCAATTTTACCAGCTGTATTATTATTTTTTATTTTACTTTACATGTATGTTTTTGCAACACTTGCAAATGTATAAGATCAAGCAATGATCTGCACTTGCAGTGTAATATACCAAATGAAGATGAGATCCGCCATTGCCTAGAAATGAATAAGGATGCCGTCTTTGTTTACATCACTCAAAGCGGTCTTACAAGAATTCCACTATCTATTTCTGTCTTAACTGATGTCCAATATCTGGATTTGTCTCAGAATTATATAAATGAAATAGACAATTATACACTGAACTCTCTTGGAGGCACGCTGCAATTTCTTGTGATGAACTATAACAATATATCTGTATTGCGCGATGGTTCTCTATATAATTTGTCAGGTCTTCAAGAAATCTCTTTACAGCATAATATTCTTCAAGAGATTGAAACTAATGTAATAAACTCAAACTTAAAGTCATTGCAAAAGATGCAATTTTCATCAAATCAATTGAAGATCGTTGACATCGAGCTCTTATGGGTGCCTATGCTTTTCAGATGTAACAGTACTGTCGTTGTGAACGTTTCAAACAATTTTATATCAAATTTTACCAACCATAAAGGGTTAAGAGTGTCAGACTTCAGCATAAACAATTCATTCAGTGCTGATTTAACAATAAATAATCTTACGACAATTGACATTAACTATCTTCTCAGTTTATTTAAAGTAGAACACATTTTGGAGCTGTACAATCTGGGAAGTGGTGCATTCAATATAATGTATAACCCTCTAGTATGTGATTGTCGGTTATTTCCCTTTTCATTTTACATTAGTATTTTTAGATTTATGGATAAATTCAATCCACTATTCACCATGACATGTTCCAACCCACCAGCACTGGCAGGTCTTCTGATTTATAAAGTTCCAATTCAGGACTTTAATTGTACGGTTCATGAAAAATGCCCAGCCCAATGCGTATGCACAAAGACAGTTGCTCTAGAATTGATAACAGTAGTCTGTGACAACGACATGGTAGAATCACTTCCGAATGTCATTCCAGAAGGCAAGTATGTCGCTTTGTCCGTACATAGTAGAAATGTTCGGGAACTGTCAGATAGAAACTATTTTAGGAACGTCACAGATTTAGACCTTTCTTCCTCTTCTATTTCATCAATACATGACGACTTTCTTCATAATTTCGAAAGCTTGAGTACGATTCAGATATATGACAATTCGCTCATGACGCTTCCTGAAGGAATACAAAATATGAATCTAGACAACCTTACCTCCTTGTATTTACATGGAAACCCATTTAAGTGTGACTGCCATTCGAAATGGATGAAATCTTGGCTTCAAAAGAACCGAGTCAAAATTCCAGATCTGAATCAAGTCCTCTGCCAATCGGGACAGGCCAACGGCAAGCCTATCATTACTGCCTTAGATTCTGACTTTGTCTGCGATGGTATCAGTTTATCTCTCGTCCTTGCTATCAGTCTAGGAGGGTTTAGCGTTTTTGTAATTATCGTGTTTGGAGGATATTGTCTTCGAGAGCCGATTAAAGTTTTTCTGATCGCAAACTACCGTTGCTTCCAATGTCTTCGTAGGAAGGTTGCCACTAACTCACCTTTTGACATCTTCATATCCTACAGTAGCTTTGATGAAACATATGTCCAAACAACACTTATACCCCAACTTGAAAACGATGGATTCCGACTTTTTACGCAAGATTATTTCGTTCCTGGAATACCTATCACTGATAATATATTAAATGGAATAGATTCTAGCTTCACTACATTGATAGTATTATCTAATAAATTCCTGGAAAGTGATTGGTGTAGGTACGAATTCGAGCAAGCATATCTTAAAGTTCTGAGAGAAAAAGAAAGACACCTGATTATTTTAAACCTAGATAATGAACTTAATAATGAGCTTATTCCCAAGACGTTGAAGATCTACCTGAAAACGAACAATTACATCAAAATTTCAGAGAAAAGATACTTGTCCCGCATTTTGCTTGCTCTTCCTAGAATAAAGGGCAGAACTGTAGTTTCCGAAAGGACGCCTCTCCTACAAGACCATCCAATCAATACCTGAATCTTCACATGTATCAAACGAATTTTGAATTATATGACGCTTTAACTTATACATGCAGATTAATATTATTCAACAAAAATATGAACACTTGATAATTTAGGAAGAGCATCCTATTTGCTACAGCTACCCTAATGTAAACAGGTTAAATAATTATACTTCATTCCAATCAGGAATAGATCTTATGTCGCTAGTAACGTCACTTATATTATATCTTTTATACAGCAGTAGGCCTAATCCATACAGTCATATTCCCATCCATTAACATGAATGGAGCTTAGTTGAAGGCACGATACATTAAAGGTCAATGACTAAAACGATGTTTAGTGGGCAATACTTCCTTTTTATTTTGTATTTTTATAGAATATAAGAAGAAAATATATTTTCACCTCATATGATTGTAAGGTATAGTGATCATAAAATATAGCTCAGCTTTAGAATTGCTACGTCTGTGGTCATTCTCTATTTCTAGCGTCTTCTAAATCAAGCACGATTCTATATTGAACCAAATTGTCCCAATGAGCATCGTAACATGTCAGTGGTCATTCATTTTTTTAAACAGTCTTAACTCCTGAATTCTCAATGCATTGTTGAGATGCAATTAAGACGACTTGCAGTTACATTAGTTACCTTTAGCTTTGTCTTTATCAAAGCCTATAATTTGTGATCAATACAATTAAGAGAAAAGAGAGATCATACATTTTTAAAGAATAAACTAATGCACATAGCTGATATACTGAATGCATGTAAACCACTTTATAAAGCATTTATACCGTGCACATGACAATATTATTATTATTATTATTATTATTATTATTATTATTATTATTATTATTACTATTATTATTATTATTATTATTATTATTATTATTATTATTATTATTATTATTATTATTATTATTATTATTATTATTATATGTAGGATAAAGTCTTTCATCGCTTTTTGATCTGTTTCGAAAAAATAAATTTAATGCATTTTTGCAAGGTTGTGACCATTTGTAAATAATAGATGAATAAATCATCCATTTATCTCTTATGATTTAACTATGTTCTGCGTCGGCCTAGGTGGTTAGAGCGTCTGCCTCGTATGCAGAAGGTCGCGGGTTCAAACCCTGGTCGAATCATACTAAAGACTTACAATTCTTACATTACTAATAGATGCCTCGTATGGATCACAGAATTAAGAGATGTTTGTTAGGACTAGTCGGCCAGATGCCAGGAAAATGTGACTGGGTGGGACATGATGCTTCATGTCTGCTGCAAAACGCCCCAGTGATAGTAATCAAGATTAACTGTCACACTGTAGACATGGTAGCGATATGATTGGAACATTGTTAAATCTTCATTAAAAATCCATATCACATATACACAATTACACACGTTCTGCGTCATATATATCCAACCACCGGCAACCCACAACCCCAAAACGTGTAAACTGACAATACATTTGAAAGTAAATATAGATCATGCCAATGTAATATCAAAGGCGATTTTATTATTCACTAACAGATTTAACCGAACTTTTTGCTTCAAGCTGACGGACATTAGATTACTTTGAAAGAATTGTACAGCTCAGGTTACTCTAAAAATAGCGTGCATATAATATTTCTATCAGAGTCGCTATTTAACATATCAGTAGAACACCCATAACATTAATATTGGTTGTTGTATTCTTCATTTCGGCTTTATTGTACATGCTAGTAAGAGTACGGATCACTTAATTAACTTGACAATGTATTTATCCATATATCACACCATCAATATAAAAATACATTTGCAGTCGGTTCTATTGCGTTTATTACAATTCATGTTGTCGAAGCTTTGATTAATAAAGCAGATCATAAAATCATGTCATATGTGTATCTTATATTTCTATTAAAATACAGATGTAAAGAAGGTTATAAAAAATTTCAATATCGTTGAAATGCGTCAGTTGCATCGTGCACAAATGTATGATAGCCACTACAGAGTATATTACGCTTGTGTTGGATTACTCTTGAAACATAATATATAACATATTTGACTTTTAATATGTGTACATTTTCTACCTGCATTGTCTTACTTAAATGTTCTTTAAAACGATCAAAAAATAAATAAACAGAAATCAAATCAAACAAACAAAAACAAATCAAAGAAACAAGAAACAAAAATTTAAAGAACTAAAACAAAATAATATCATCAAACTAAAAGCAAAACAATAACAGTGGCTCATAATATAACAGTCTTGAAATATAATACAAGTTGCAGGACCTTAGATATATTTGACCTTGTTGTGAAATAATATTTGAACAAAAAGCACATGTTACGGTCTGTATTATTGGCTACAGTTCCAGGTCTTTGGACTTTTGAACGTATCAATATATTTGGCTCGATTCGGAATGGTTTAGCACTTTACTTCCGGCGCCAGTGTAATAAACAGTCGACAGACAAAACCTACGGATCACACCATTCGGAATCGGCGATTAAACTTACCTTACGTAGTCTATTTGCTATACATGATTAGACCCTTGTTTATCCCATGTCTCTAGTCAACAAACCTTTGAAGTAATTAAAAAGTTTGTGGCGTAGCGGTATCACGGTTTGTATGGAGAAAGTAATCAAAGGGTAATATGTCAATAATTATACAGTCTGTTACCTCGGTGTGTCTTTAGGAAAATCATTCAGCTGCATTTTCCTGAAAATTATAAAGTTAGTAGTTAAAACAACAAACATTAATTGTACGTCTATTTCGTGTTTTGAAGTTTTTTTTGTTGTAAATTGAACTGATTTTAGAGTTACATGTATCTTTTTTTATTAACAACAATTTCCACTGAATAAATGGGGCGTGGATATAAATTAAAGAAACAAGATAACGATTTATGTTGTATTGTTTTTCAAATTTTTACCAGTTAGATAGGAAAGAACATTTTCTAGCTGACTCAGTAAATAAAGTCATTTTGACCCTCCGTCAGTCCTTTATAATCTTTCAAAACGAGAATCTAAATTTTTACATAATTATTATGATTATCATTATTGTTACATTTTCTATTTATCGCCGGGTACAAACATCGATCAAGTTTAAAGTCAATACCTTTGAAAGTTAAAAGCAAGCACGTATAAAGATGCTTACCTACATTAAACTCTTTGTCATATTTTGAACTGGTTGATGCAACGTATCGTTTTGACGCCTGCAATAAGATATTGTTGAACAGGGTGTGGAAAACGTATTGTTTTTCACTCATTGCCAAATTTTAAGTTGGAAAATGAACAAAACACGTTCCTAATGCGACCCATTGTCAAACTTCGTGAAAATTTGAGAAGCTGCCATACTCTGTCCTGCACTGCATTGTGGAAATAAATAGAATATAGCTGAGTTTCCAATATTTTTCAACATAACACTAATTGCGTCAGGCGTGAATGACATTTCGCATTTCTCAGATTAAGACTTGCTCTTGCTTTAGATTTTAAACATACTCCTCAATGGAACAGAATAACTCCTCTATCTTGGATAATATTATGCATGTAGTTGTGCATCAACTATATAAATTACATGCTAATGCGTTTGATGAAGAACTAACACATTTGGATAGCATCTGAAGGGGGTTATCGTGTGCGTGTTTTTTTTTTTTCAAGAACATTCGTCGTCATTGAGATAACGTTGCGATTCTATAGCCGTGAACCAAGTAACCTAAAAGTGCAAAACCAACAAGGTTTCTAAATGTCAACAAACAATTTATTTCCCTAGAACAACACGTGACATTTAAAAAAAAAACGTGTTGCGAATTAAATAAGAAATTGTCCTAAAAAGTTCTATCATAAGTCAATTTGTTGTGTTCCAATTGAATTGCAAAAGTATTCAAGTAAATTCCAACACTGCACGTGTTGAAGTGCCTGTATTCTTGAATGTGCAAATGTGCCAATGACATGGAATTTGGTGACGTGTTAACGCTCGTTTGATGTATCAGAATACTAAATTCCAAAATAATGTTTTAGTCAAACACTACTATTGACAAATTTTAATTCCATGGAATAATAATTTGAATAAATAAACCCACACAAATTAAAATATTAACACAATATTAAGACTGGTTCAGCTTCGGCTGTTATAAAAATAATTAATAATCCTCACGTAAATAAGATTGTATATCCTTCTACTTGACCTAGTTAGCAACAACCATTTTTGGAAATACTCTGTAACCGTAATGGAAAATTTACTTTATAGAAATCAGTAATGCATCTTTGACTAAACTGATGTGAACGCGTCTGCAATTAATAATGATCCGAATAATTAATTTAATATAAATAGAAAGTATATTCATTTTTCCTTAACCACTCTCTGTAGATCCTTCATCTAAATTATATAACCTCGAATGCTTTCAAGTATTCCTAGTTTGCCTTTAACCTATTTTTGCTCCCAGTGCAGGTGCATGTTTCACTTCCTCTGCACATGCTCTGCAGGTGATCGGTATTTGATTATGCAATTAGGGCATATATTCCTGACATAATACAAGCTTAGAGAATAAAATAGGATATTGTCTTAAAGGAAATTTAAATCACACCATATATAATATTACATTTTTACACTTTGAAACTCCATAACTAAACATAATAAGCAATATGTTTAGATAGGATTTTAAACCAGAACTTAGACCTAAGGATTTAATACAATGACTTCCCTAATACTTGATGGTATCTCTGCTTATTCTTCTTGAACCCATAATCATGAGGTGGCCTAAAGTTTAAAGCTCAGGCATGTTTGTTCTTTTGACTGTTTAAGTATTATTATACTCGTTCATTCGGTACCACTATGCTAATGAAGTTGTGTATATATTTCCTTCATTTTCTGAATACTGTTTTAGTTAATTCTGTTGCATTAGTTACGATTTCTGATACCCGAATACTTTTTCACTTAAGTTACGCACTTTTATGAACACAACGCTTCAAAGTTATTAATTGCTTTGTACTGAAATGAACGTTCTGAACCCGACAGAATAAACTTGTTTGCTTTAAAATGCTAAGCAGAAGGGAAGAGGTTCAACTCGATACATGTTTAACGTTTTTGGGAGGAGTGCCGTCTTTGCCGTCTGACCTCTATCTGCGTGGATTCGATTATCGGGCTTGGCCAATGTGAACACGCGAGAAAGCTTGCTAGTAACTTCACTTTGGTCTGTAGGTTATATTTATACGAATACTGATACATTACTGCAAAGAAATGTTACATATACATCAATATTGTTTCCTTCCAATTATAACACTTTCATAAGCGACACCTGTCTTTGAGGTATGCCGTGGAATGCATTACGTAAACGCGTGCATAAAACATGATACTTGTTAAATTCATCAAACGATGAAGGTTCTAAAATAAATGTCAGCTAGGTAAAATACTGTAATAAGACTAAGTCTTTCATTTATAAATACCAAATGTATTTCACGTTTTAATTTTTTAAATATTGATTTGTTTTAAAATGTCTCAGGTGGTGGTACTTTACACCCTGGTAGTCTGGTTGACTGTTAGTAAGCTGAATTAGTTAATTTGCATTTATGTCTTTGCTGTGTTTATGGACATGTTGATTGAGTGATAGATTTGGATCATACTGTATCAATTATATTATGTGTCGTGAAAGTAGTTAATTCGTTGTAAAACGAAATGAAATATGATGCATATTTACTAAATTAAGTTTAAATATTAAATTCTTAGAAAAAATGAGTAATTAGCTCGATGATTTAAATCAATTTTTTTAATTGATTCACTAATTAGTGTGTTCGTGCCTTTTTGTCTTTTCATAATTCCATTGTTCATCACTGCTCATTCGAGACTGAGACTAATGCGTTCGTTAGAGTCAAGATAATGATCATAGTGAAGACATTCTATTGCTGAGTCTAAGTTGATACATTTTGTACAGTTGACAATACACCGCCATTGTCTCTTCTGAAATTCTAATGTTTCCACGAAGTGTTAAATGTACAACATTATCACTTTTTCGTTTCTTTTGCAAGTCTCAATTTGCATGGTAAAATATTCTGATTACTTGGTCAGTCATGTTGAAAGTAACATTACTTCGAATCACATTAAGATATATTGATTGAGTGATTGATTGATTGGTTGGATTTTTACGGCGCAACAGCTCAATAAGGCTTTTTAGCGTCATACAAATGGTTACATTTTTCATTATTTAAAAGTGGTAAAGTGTTTTGTATCGACCAGGGATTCGAGACCAAACAGTTAAAGGTAAAACGATAAATTTGTAACGGTGAAAAGTAAATACAGTTTCCCGATCAACGGGTAGTGCAAATAATAAATGACAATTAAAACAAATCAATGGTAATTAAAATCTAGTTACCTTATGTATAGCACATAAAAATGTTCAATGTGATATCATAAAAGCTATAACTTCTGATAAATGTTTACTTTCTTAAGGAAGTCTATAATATTAGAAACGTTAACTGTATCAAAGAGCTCGCTCATGTCTTGCACATTGTAATAATGATTACCTGTAGGTTACCAGTTGAAACACTCCAACATAAAGTGGTTCATTGCAAAATATGCATTCTGGTGCGTCTTCTCCTTTTAATATGTAGGAATGGGTTAAATAAATATAACGAAATCGAATAAGGATAGCAATTTTGAGCTAAGTGCACAAGAGAGTGACTTTGACAAGAGTTGAGTTTTATGGTACATACTTATTAAAGGGCAAGCAGGTGAAATGCTTTACATCCTGAACTGAGTTGTCCATGGTTACTATTTATTCGATACCGTATCGTACCGTTTACTATCAATAAAAGCACCCTTTAATACCATTAATACCTATCATAATTTTAGTAATAAAATATATTTTCCTCAGATATAGTTTTTCAAACAGAAACCAGTATGTCGTTGTTTCGATCTTCTCCCTATGAGAGTGAGATCTATCATGTTACAATATTATATTCTTTACTTCCTTCTTTTTACTTACATTAAAATTCTTCTACAAAACTTTATTCCTGCTAAAAAATTAACTAAAAATTATTTATACCAGCCAGTCCGTACAAAATACAAGGTTAACATACAATATAATATAGAATAAAACACACAGCAAACACCGGACAATACTGATCACAGTCAGGGATCACTTGTATAATTAAACTCCAAGACCAGCCACGGTCATTGAGAATATATACGCTAAAACAGGACTGTATGGAAACCGTAGAACAGAATTTTAAAAAATCAATAAAAGACATATTGGGGGAACACGTCAATACATAAAAGCCATTAACGTTATATCCTAGGTGTCTCTTTTATGGTGTAAGTCCGAGAAGACACTATACCAATAAATTAGGGACTTGCATAATAGAAACGACTTAAAAGATTTGCGAAATTCTGAAACTCCTGCTTGAGAAGTCTTTACAATTGAATTTATGTACTTTGCTCTCCCCCTTCTTACATTTGTTTAATGAGGAAGATGGATATGATGTGATTATGATTTTTACCGTAGCTTTAACAATTTTTCAGTTCTATCGCTACGATGTCTGCAGTCTCGCAGTTTATAGTGATGTCTAGCACTGGGGCATCATGCCGCAAGCATGTAGCATGATGTACCACCCAGGCACATTATCCTGACACCAGGCCAACCATTCCTACACCAGGCCAATAAGTCCTAACACTAACCTCTTAATGCTGAGCGCCAAGCGAGGTAGCTGTTAGTACCATTTTTGTAAGTCTTTGGTATGATTCGACCACCGGAGCGGTATGCTTATAAAGAATGTGTTGGTGTCCAACCGCAAAGTTTTATCCTCAAAAAATTAATCAAGTCTCTGCTTTTTTTTAGATGTAAAATAAAATTCTGCGTATCCTATTTAAAAGTAAAATCAAACGTTAGAAAAGGAAAAATATAAATAAAATAATGAGCGCCTTGATTTTCTTGCGAACTACGTGGCAGTAAAATTTAACGTAATTCACTCCGATGATTTCTTTTTACACATTTTTGTACTTGGAAAATCAATTTAGGTCCCAAGATAAAAGAATGAAACGTCCTTTATATGCAGCCATAACTAAAGATATAGAAAAGATTGAGGAAACTAGGTTTTAAAGTAAACTAGTGGTATTTGACAATCAATAGTTGCATTATTTTTATTGTGTTGACCAAATTGTAAAATAAACTCTTTAAGTTGTGCAACCACTCAAGCGGCCAAAGTGGTTCGAGTCTTAAAGTCCGATGCTGTCTGTCGCGGATTCGAACCCCAACCAAGTCACACCCATGACTTATAAAAATTGTACATGCAGTCGCCTATCTTAACGATTAAGAGGTCGGAGTTTTGATTGGTTGGCCTGGTGTCAGGGTAATGTGACTGAGTGGGACATGCTTCTGCATGTTTATAAATTGACACGCTGTGACAATATGACTAAAATTGATAGAGCATAGTTAAAAATAAGAAAGAAAATGAATATAAAAAGAAACAACTCAAACACACTTATGCTATATACTGAATACATAATTTGTTAGATAAAGAGGGCTAGTGGGTAGGCGGGTTCGTAGATGGTCAGTTATCTATACAATAATAGATCGGTTGGGAGATATTAAGGTTGGACGAGTCAAATAACAAATGAGATCGAACATTCAATAACGGCTTGCATATAATAGAAGTAAAATGTTCAAAATGTAAAGTGCGCATCTTGATTATATTGTTAATTGAATTTTTGACTACGGTACATAATCTAGGTAGACAGCCTGGTTGCTTTAAAGACTTAAGGGTCTTTTTGTCAACAAAGTTACTCTTAGGCATCAAACGCTTAGTTTAGACTGTCAAGTTGCTGCATTATGATTATCCTGTTTAGTTGGATAGAATTTTTACCCAGCAAATAACATTTCACAAAATTCATTTAATTTGGAAAGTTATTTGCCATTATCATGATTGAAAAATGTTTTGACTGGAAATGTCACCATGCTGTGTACATTCGCATCTGGCTTAAATGAGACCGACGCAGAGCAAGAATCGCAGTCATGTAACGAACTGGGAAATAATGATCCATGCTTTCTTTTTGAAGATAATTTTTACGCAAAACGCATACACACAGGATTAAAAAGGTGTGTTTGACAAATTAAATAAAACTGCAGTTATTAAACGTAAGTCTAAAATTCACTAACAGTTCATGTTGACATGTTTTGGCTACACAAACCAAGACATACATGTTTTCATTAACTTGTAGATATCGGTACTGCCTATGAGAAATTATTTGTTGAACATAAAGGCCCTTATTTGCCAAGCCCATACCTATGGAATGAACAGGTATTCTTTCAGCTGTGGTTGGGGCCTGTGTATGATTACATAGTGATTTTTGTTGGTAAGGGTGATTAGTGTTCAGTATGGGGATACAGAGTGGGTGCAGTGGTAATATCATAAAAATAAAATTCTAAATATAAATTAAATGTATAAATTAAATAAAATGGGCAATCAGGCGGGGCAAGATGGAAAGCGAGGATGTGATGTAATGTAATTATGATTTTTAACGTAGCTTTAACAATTTTTCAGTCATATCGCTACGATGTCTGCAGTCTCGCAGTTTATAGTGATGTCTAGCACTGGGGCATCATGCCGCAGACATGTAGCATGATGTCCCACCCAGTCACATTATCCAGACACAAGACCGACCAGACCTAACACTAACCTCTTAATGCTGAGCGCCAAGCGAGGTAGTTGTAAGTACCATATATGTAAGTCTTTGGTATGACTCAACCGGTTGATCGAACCCACGACCTCCCGCATCTGAGGCAGACGCTCTAACCACTAGGCCACTGGAGCGATTGGAAAGCGAGGAAAAGCAACCCATGAAAAGGAACAAACACGGAGAGAAAGAAAGAACTAATCATGAAGATAAGCTAGGATGAAGCAGAAGAAAATAGAAAACCAGATTAAAGATGAGACTAGAAAGAGAAAAGGAAAGAAATACACCTGGAAAGATGACATGAAAAGGCAGAAAAAGAATAAGTCAGCAGCAGATATTCTTGCAAGGAAGAGCAACAAAGGTCATCTTTAAAAACGAAAACCTTCCCAGATATAAAACTAATCCAAATACACCCACCCGGATATAAAAGAAACCTAAACGCTTCCACCACCCGATATAAAACCCAAATGCTCCACTTAAGTATTTAACTACAACAAACTAAACTAAAAGGTGTACAGCAACATTACTTCCACCCAAAAACAAAATACCAGACGTATAAAATACACATAAAAAAAAAACACACAGGAAGCATGTACAGCAATAGCATGCAGATACCTTTACAAAAGAATATAGTGTAGCACATATGTGGCAGATGCCACCTCAATATATACAGCATATGGTTTTCATTCTACATGCTTCAGGATACCATACCAATAATATCCAGATCAGGATGTTGCTAAGAAAGTGAATTTATATGTGTCTTTAATCACAAATTTTAATCACAAAATCGTATGATCACTTTGAGTCAGGTTCTCTTGGTACATTACAGAAAAATACAACGCATGCTTGGTATGCCAAAGGAAAGGAAAAAACCTAATAAGATAATTCACCACTTGGGATTCTTTGACTTGGAATTTGAAGACCATATTTTTTTGGCATTGCGACAGATATAACCCACATTAATAGACAACTAGACATAAATTTTATAAACGACAATAATAAAACAGCAAGATGAAAGCGTGCAAGGTATTGGATCAGGTAGATTGAGGATGTGGATCATTTGGAGATGCCTCTTACATCTTCAGATTGCCAGGTCTTTTATTTCTAGCCGGTAAAGGTAGGCATTGGATTAAACATAGCACTAAATGTCCTCGTGCATTGATGGATGGTAATAAAAAAAGGAACAACATTACGATGAATTAACAGTTAATATTGCCATTCAAACTATTTTGTGAACAGGACTGTCTGTATGAAGACCACTCTGATGGATGTAAAAGAAAAATGTTTTATTGTATACGTAGGCTACTGCAGTTGATTGGCCAATGAAAAGTAGTCACACAAGGCACACAAAAATCATTACATTCCAAATACTTTTACAAAGCTTCCCATGATGATCTGGAGTATGCGTAAATAAACTTAAAACAAACATTTTGTATGTGCACTCTAATAAAGGTTGGAAAAACTCACAAATCTGGGCTTTTTGATATTGGATGCTATAAAGGATAAAATACATTTTAATAGTATATGTTAAATTCACATGAAAGTTGTGACTTATGAATTATATAACTTTTCTAAACTGCCTGATAGCCTTTCAGTATAAAGGATCCAGGGTTTTCTGGCACCATTGTAGACTGCTTAACTCTGCCCAAGTATTTTGACAGTTGACCGTAATCAAATGTTGCACAAGTCCCAGATGGTAGGCAAACATGATGTTTGTATCCTTTGTCAGTGTGATCGAACTTTATAAAAAACTGATAAGCTGTACACATGCAGATTTTCATCAGGAATCTCGGTTTCCATGTCGGTTACTCTTTTGATGGACTTGGTGGTATCGTTGTATATTTGCTGTATCTGCGTCGATATGTCATTGTAGAAATTCAAGTAACCTTCATCTCCATGATCTTGATCTTTAGCCTAGAGAATATGAAATTTCACAAGTTAATATTATGAACAAAACAGATGCTTAATTGGGGGAGGCGGGCAAATCTTAAGCTACATGCATAAGATTACATAAGATAACAAGTTTAAATATGTTAGGTGGCAGTAATGGCATGTCTCACCACTGGCCCCAAAGCAAACTTTCTATATTGCCCAAACCCCTTCACTGTCACTTATTTGGTTTTGGTTGGGGCGGGCCCCACAGCACGCCTGTAACTGCTATCACTGTGGCTATGCTACTGTGTGGCAGTGTGTGTAAAATGTCGATATTAAATGTTTTCAAGTAAAACCGTTATATGAGAAAATAAACATTACTATCATATGATGTAAAGAAAGTAAAAAGAATTACCGGTAATTCATTCAAAGACATTCTGGATTGCATCATTGTGGTACTTGTGGACTTTCAAGACTTGGAATTCATTTGGAATTAAATTCACTGCAAATGTCTCATTATTTTTTTCTACTGTTGAAAAGTCAATTTCTTGTTGATTTTATTGCAATTTTTGGTTTCACTTTTTCTTTACATATTTTACCACTGCATAAATTTAAAAACTTTTTGCATGACAAATGCAACTTGTAATTAAAGGCACAAATGAATCTTTATGCTTTACATTAATTTTTGTATAATCCAATAATATATCATTTACTTGTGTAGTCCATGGAATGAAAACATTTAAAGACTAGTCAAATATTATCCTCAAAATAAAGCACCTTTGCTACTCAGTTTCGTAAGAGTGGACAAGCAAGTAAAACATTTCTCATGTAATTGGATCATAAAGGTCATCTCAAAGTGCTACTGACTAAAAGTTTACATTATGACATCTCTCTCTCTCTCTCTCTCTCTCTCTCTCTCTCTCTCTCTCTCTCTCTCTCTCTCTCTAAATAAAATATTAAAACAATGAAGACTATATCTTTATCTTCATGTTAGAACATACTAATCCCACATTCACTCTTAGTGAAAGTTTAATGATAATAAGTAAAGCTCTATAAGAGTTTCAGTGTGGACAATGAATAATTATTAACCTACATTTATAGATAAACAAAGTAAATTTCTTAAATTGCAAGCTTATTTACAGGATAACAAAAAAAAAATATTTGAGCTGGAAAAAACTCTTGACTACTTTTCATCAATGAAGTTAATTAAATGGTGTTAATGAGACAAGCTTTGAAAGAATCAAGTACATCCTTGAAGATACACACCTTTCATATTTAGATTTTAACAAACATAATATTCCCCAGAAACTTGTCCAATCCCAAGAGTTAAGATGAAAATTTTAAACCCAGTATGTATATCTTAAGACTACCCAAGGTCTTATTCCAAAATTTCAAGCTGTCTTAAGTAGTTTAGGAGATAAAATGCATTATTATTGAGTGGACAGACAGAAATGAAGACATTATACTCATGCATTTTCTAAAGTTGCATGGGAACACAATCATGGTTATTTTTTTTTAATTAATGAATTGGTTGTTAAAACATAAAAATCAAAATAAATTATACATCTCTAAATTAAATGATGAACATGGAAGTCAGTTTAAATCATGGAGGAAGAACAAAACAAAAACTCCATAGAACCATGACCCATGAGAAGCAACCGTCAACCTTTCTGACATTAAAACATCCTTTATCCATTATATTGAATACATGTCCATTCTTCCATTATTTGTTTTTGCAAAACTATCACTGTGATTTAAATCTGCTGCAAACATCAATTTGTATTCATGAAATCAACTAGAACATTAATAGCCTAGCATCTGTAGTTAATACCCTTCTTTTCCTTGTATCAACGTACTTCTGCTAATTTACCATATGTTGCAAGTGTGCATTGTATCTGTTGTAGTTTCAAATAGTTATTCTTTCCATCTCCTTCATGAAACAGCTCCCTTCTGACTGTTTTTACACCAAAGCACATAAACTTTTCTTACATGTGGGTCTTCATTATGCTAATGTTTACATGGAATCTTCAGCTTCGATGGTAACAGCAGCAGTAATTTGAATATGTATCCCTTATTCATGTGGGCAATTGATAAACTCAAAAATGATGCTTGACACTTTTAAAATGTGAAATTTGATCTATGATGATTATCTATTTATAATAAGTTTCAAAAGTAACATATGGGTCTGAAAGTTGTTTTTTAAGGACTACAATTCTCTGAAAGGTGTTTGAAATTCTGTATTTCTTCATATGATATAATACTGCTCCTGTAATATTTATATTAATAACACAATTATCCTGAAATTGAAAAGACTACACCTTTAATGTTTATTCTCCATGATAACTGTGGCTATCAACAGTACACAAAATCCTGTGGCACTTCATAGTAGTGCTCTCCCAAACATGTTATGACAAATTTTACCTTTGAATAGTTAATGTTCAGTATGCTTTCTCATGTCAATCCTGCATAAACATTCTATCACAAATTTAATAATTTTATGGTTAGTCTCCTGTATTCATCCTCCTGTGGCTCTCCAAAGCAGTGTTTTTCCCTAAAATGTGATCACCAACTTCAACTGTGAATGATTTATCTCAAATGGCTCTTTAAACACCATACCTCCTAACTTTACTTTTGAATTGTGTTTTGTATATCTCCAGTATGATTTTTCATGTGTATCTTCAAATTACAACTTTTTCTAAACAATTCATCACAAATTTCGTATTTGTATGGTTTATCTCCAGTATGTATTCTCATGTGGACCTTCAAGTTACTACTATCTCCAAACACTTTATCACAAATTTCACAATTGAATGGTTTATCTCCAGTATGTATCCTCATGTGGACCTTCAAATGACTAATCTGTCCAAACATTTTATAACAAATTTCACATTTGAACGGTTTATCTCCAGTATGTATCCTCATGTGGATCTTTAAGTTACTACTATCTCCAAACATTTTATCACAAACATCACAGTTGAACGGTTTATCTCCAGCATGTATTCTCATGTGGCGCTTTATATGACTATTGTGTCCAAACATTTTATAACAAACTTCACATTTGAATGGTTTTTCTCTGGTATGTACGTTCATGTGGCCCTTTAAATGACTACTCCGTCCAAACATTTTATCACAAACTTCACATTGGAATGGTTTATATCCAGTATGTATCCTCATGTGGACAATCAAATGACTACTATCTCGAAACATTTTATCACATGCTTCACATTTGAATGGTTTATCTCCAGTATGTATCCTCATGTGGACC